TGGGACATCTCTTACAATGTTGTTGGAACTATATGACCTTTAAGGAGGACTCTTTAACTGGAGACATAGTAAATTGTAGTGTAAAATTTTTGTAAAGAAATATACTGGAAAAATGGTAAACATGTGATCATCTGTGAAATTATCCTGTGAGGCCACTCTGTTTTCAGCTATAGGCCAACCACTTTTTAGCTTTAATAGCTAGCTTTACAGACATATTATGTGCTATCCAATATATTTTTTCTGTTAGTTTTGATTTACCATTTTCACTTTCCGTAGTTTCTCCTATGCTCCTCTGCATAATATGTCATAATTTCATTCTCTTATCTCCTCTTCAGTAATCCTACTGACCATCTCTCTCTTTCTCTCTCAGTCTTATACATATTATATGGTTTCTTGATTTATCGGTGTTTTCAAATTCCTGTAATTGTCAATATTTTACTGAGACTAGGAAATCAGTATTACACATGCATTTCCAAGAAGACTGTGAATATAAACTAATTGATTATTTTTCTTTTATTGAAACACAAAAAGGTTCTGGCCCATTTTAAGCATTCAAATTTTAAACTGAAAAGGTCTATTTGATGCAGAAATAAACTTCCAAACTATTTCTGTTTTTATTGGAAATGTATACCTGTCTGCTCTCAGTTTCCACCTTCCCTTAACCTGTCAGCTAAGATGATAATTACTACATATAGTCAAAATCATGAATATAAAGCTTTAAAAGTACTGACTTCCACTCTCTGGCAGACCCTGAGCTACTATTTAGTTCTTACTTAGATGCTTAATATCACTTTAGAATTGTCATATCTTGTCATTTGAAGGAAAACACACCAACAGAAATGTCTTTGATTCAATTCAGAGGGATATGAGCTTCTCCTCAGAACTCTACTTGTCAACATTAAAACATTAAAGGATAACTCTTCTCTGAAACTGAGTAAATATTTTTATTTTACAAACAAGATGAAATGTCTTTTTTTCCCCAGGATACCAAAAGAGAGTTCCTAAAAAAACCAGAAACAATTGACTAAGGTCTTTGTTAAAATTTCTGGTAACCAGAGGAAACTGATGTTTAAGTCAGCTCAAGAACTTATTGGCAAACTTCATAAAGATCACTCAGCTCTAAGGACGTTGATCAAAAGATATTCAACATCAAATAAATACATAGAGTAGTCCCAAAGGAATGCAGTTGTATTGCCACACTTTATACAGATTAGCACAGCTTTTATTTCTGTGTTTCTCAAGTTAAGAACCTTTTCTGCCTTTGTCTGGTGCTGTAATACACTTTGGTCAGATAAATATTCTCATTCTAGAAATCAGATATGAAGTCCTTTTGCAAATTATGAAGAATTATTAGGGCAGATGTTTAAGTAATAGGCAGAATGCACCCCGAGTGAATTTAGACATTTTAAAAGTTAGTTCCCTGATCGAACCAGTGAAGTCTGACAGGAGGCAGTGAAATAAATAGCTGTGTCAAATCACAGATGACAGAGAAATTTGGGAATAACACATATCTGTGGTACTCTGGATCTAAAACATATAAACAAATAGTCCTATTTACATATAAATACAAAATCTAGAACTTGTGGCCATTAGTATATGCAACAGAAAGCCAGCTCTTCAGTGAAGAGTACAGAAATTTATTTGCATCTGACTTAATCTGCTTTTTTATGTCATTCCCTCATGACTTCCCGAATATTAAGAAAGTGATTATGTAACATTGTTTTCTGCTGTTAGTAGAATTTTTAAATGGATTTGTTTTTAATATACTTTAATAAAGAATTAAGAAATTGAACATTCAAACTAGGACTATTGATATAAGTTTCTTGTTAAAGGGAAAGTTTTATCATCTTTATCACTACAGATTTGCAATCAGTGCATTTATGAAAAATTCAGTCAACTAAGATAAAGCATTTTGTGGATTTAGTGTCTTTCAAGTATTTTGGAGTAAAAATTGTTTAATATATAGAGAAATTGATTGTAATTCAAGAGCAAAGAAAATACTGAACTGAAAAGGTATGAAAAGTTTTTAATGTATCAGTGTTGAGTAGTCTTTCTTTTGTGGGGTGAAAGCAATAGAACTTTTGTTCTATTAAAATTAATTGGTAAATTATTAAATGAACTAAAGTATTTGATTGATATTAACACCCATGATATAATGTGACCAATAAATTATCTGCATGGTTTAGTAAATCTTCATGCCAAGAAATTTATGTTAATCTTGAAGCTAAGAGAGAATGCTATCCATTGAATTTAAATGGATTATTTTTGTCAAAGGATTACTGAAATACATTTTCTGTTGTAGCAGGTGGTCTTCTATCTTTGAAAAGATGTAGATTCCTAGAACTGAACGGAATTCTCCGAACATTTTATTGTCAATATATCTTCACTGTTATTCTCCTTGTCATACATCCTCAAAAATTGTGATGTTTGCTGAATTTTTTTATGTTGGATAAACCCAAACCCTTGAAGTTGAGTTAAAAAATAAAGTAAATGTATTTCATTTTGACATTTTATGAGTTATTTGGATTTTCAAGGTAATCTAATTTGATTAAAAATTATTTCTAATGTATTTTAAGCAAATGCAAAATGCATTTAGTATTCATTGGAATACTATTTTCTAAGATGAACAACAGATTTTATTAAACTTTTTTTTTTTTTTTTTTTTCCCTCCAAAATAATAAGGGAATTTAAAAGTTTGATCTGAAATTAGTTTTTATATTATAAAGTTTGACCAGAGATTAGGTTTTTTTTAATGTTTTTAATGCCTTATTTGTGGTTGCAAATCAGAAATATAAAAATACAAATTATGTTTCTATCCTAGTTAAAACTGGGTTTTCTTGGATGAGAAGGATAATATGTTAAGATTCACTAAGCATTCATTTAGAATTCAGTTTTTACTGAAGACATACCATACTAACTTCTCATAAAAAATGAATTTTGAACCTATCTGAAAGCTTAATTTTAGGTAATTTCTCTTAAAAGTTTTGGTTCATTGATCCACAGCTCACTTCTTGGGCTCTGTGCATCTTCTGAGAGTGAGAATGCATCCTAATCTGTCTTACACTTCAGCAAATTCATTAATTAAAGATATAGTGACATTTCCTCTGGAGACCACTAAAAGAAACACTTGTTTTTTTTTCCTAAGGGATCAGTTTTCAGCAGTGACAGTTTGTATCCTGACACTCCTGTGTGAAATAGTTCTTGCATCTTCAAGATGCAGTAGTGTTTTTTGAAAGACTGTTGATCACATGCTGGTTTAGGTATAGATCTGTTGTCAATGATGGAGATAATTTTTTTTAAATGTAATTAAGATAAGGGTTCTGATTTTCTGTAGCTCTGCATACTTTCAAGTGGCATATGTAACTGGAGAACTGGAAGAATACAAATTTCTAGTGCTAAATTATAGTACTAGGAATCAGTGTGTCAATAGGATCAGTCAAGTGAAACTACATTAAAGCTCTTGTGAAGATATGATTTTGGTAATCCTTACTTATATCTGTGATAATCCTTTCTTACTATTTGTGATATTATTCTACTACTGTTTTAATATATTTGTGTAATGAACTTCTGGAAGGTGTTTTCATTCATTTTGTACTTCTGGCTTTCTGATAAGACAGAGTAATTAAATAGAGCTGACTCTGGAACTGCTCCATGTTCATATTTGGATGGAAAAGTAATTTTCTTTTCAAAGTTTATAAAGAAAAAATGTAAACTTCTCTTTATCCCTACGAATAGCTTGTTCTGTTGTGAAACATGACATATGTGCTTGTGAACAATCTGTTCACAATTGTTTTAAGATTGCAAGCATAACAGATAACTGCATGCACTATAGTAATTCCATCCTGCATATTAAACTTTGTGTTGGAGCTTGCATGTCAAGGTACATACCCGTGTTAAATCCTAATAGAAGTAGCTTTGACGATATTTGAAAGCAGATATATGCATATATATATATTTAATTGTGTTAAATTACGTTTTGTTATCTTGAACGTTTCAGACTTTGTAGCTTGGTCTGAACTGTGAAACATTTAAATAACCCCAGAAATTTTATCATTGAGTTCAATTGAATGAGGTGTACATCATTTTACTACCAATTTAGAAACACACTTTATCGAACCAGAAGTTCTTTCTTAGTGTTGTTGTTCAAATGGGCATTGATATCAAATGTGTTTAAAATGTCATGGCACAAAACTGTATCCTTCAGTTTCAATGGGCAGTTAACTGTACAGTAGTTTGCAAGATAATATAGTGTTTCTATCATAAGCATTTAATATTTGTATTTCCCATCTTTAATATTATTTCTAAGTTTAATGAGACCAGATTTCTTTATTCTTATCTCGTATATGTATATTCAATATTGACAAAAGAAATATTATTTAAATAGCGGATTTCCTAGAGAATATCTAGGAAGTATAATCTTAAATGTTGATCTCTTTTCAGTATAACTGAATGCAACTAGCAAAAAATAAGCCTCTAATTTGAAATATGAGATTTAAACTTATTTTCACAGTTTCATGTTTACTTTGGTGCTTAAAATAAAACCCATTGTATTTACCAATAACTTTTAATTCCTATAAAGATGTTGGTAATAGCTTTACACAATGAACTGCAGATTTGAGAATTAAAACAGGTTCTTTATTACTAGTACTTTATTACAGAAGTAAGATGTATGTGTTAAGATGTCTCCACATTTATAATGGAGAATATATGTGGCTTCGTAATTTTACGTTGCAATAAGATTAATTTGAATGCAGTCATAATTTTCTTACCAGAAATGCAAGTAAGAAAGTTATTAACCTACAAAAAGACTTAGGTTCCTATGTCATCTTATAGGTGGTTTTTAAAGCACATACCTCTACCTCACTTTAACATGTAAATATTTGTTTAAAGTATTACGCCAAATATTTTGAAGGCACTTCTTATGTTGACATATAAATTTGTGGCAAATGTATTTTCTTTACTTACTTTCTATGATTTTTTTTTTTTTTTTTAATGTTCAGAAATTGAGAAAGGAGGCTGTGGTGACCCTGGGATTCCATCATACGGGAAAAGGACCGGCAGTAGTTTTCTGCATGGAGATACACTTACCTTTGAATGTCAAGCAGCTTTTGAACTGGTGGGAGAGAAAATGATTACATGTCAACAAAACAACCAGTGGTCTGGCAACAAACCCAGCTGTGTTTGTATGAGTTATTCTTATTTCTTCTGGAATAATGTCTTGACCTTCACCTCTCACTGTTCTTAACATTTTTGACTAGCCAGCAGGAAAATATTTCAAACTACCTTGAGGAACTGTGAGACAGTCATTTTTTTTTTTCCTTAGTTGGTTTCATAGTAACTCACTTGTGGGTATTATCACATAGGACTATTTTAGAATGCTCATACCCTCATTTTATATTTAATTTTATCATTTAATACTTTTAATAAATATTTGTGTTGATTCTAATTGAACTCCTCTTAATAACACATAAGTGTTTTAAAGAACTCAGCAGCATATGCACATTGATTCTGTCACTGCAAAACAGTCTGCGGATGTAAGTAAAGTAAAAGTGCTGGTTGGTGGGTTTTTTCCTTTTTTTTTTTCCTTCCCCCCCCATTATCCTAAAAATATATGAATGCATTTAAGGAATATATCTAACATGGAAGAAGGATAGTTGAGCTCATTAGATGTGAATTTTGTTTAAAAAGATAAAATATTTTTGTAGGTAGACTTGTAATTGATTTAAATAGATGACTTTTCTTTTTTTTTTTTTTTTTCCCCTTCTAATGTAAAATAGAGTAATCTTTCTAGTGTACAGTGCACTAGTCACTTCAGTTCTCCAGATAGTATCACATTTTCCTACATAAAGAATTTTATAATTCAGAGTTGGATTTTCAAAATAGAGTTAGGTGTCCAACTTGTACAATATATGTGTTTTGCAGCTATGCTGATACAGGATTGAACAAGCTGAGTGAGCTTTCTCTGGGACTGGGAGCAGCCTCAATTTGTTTGTGTAAAGTGCAGATGCGTCTAAGCAAAATATGCCTAAGCACATAATGCCTGCACATGAGATGATGAGGGTGCAATGTCCTTGAAGACTGAAGTCCTGTTATGGAACTACACTGCATTGGCTTGATATATTAGTTTATGTTGGCAGCAGCGTGGAATATTTTACTGGGCTACACTGCTTGATGTGCACATGCCACATGTCCTATAAAATATAATGGAACTCAAACTTAGAACGTTTACAAACACTGAGTTTGGTTTGATGCAATTGAAGAGCTGAGTAACATTTATTCTTTGTGTTAATTACCATGCAGTGAGCCTTCCTTTTTCTGAATATACTGTTTTGTTGCTAGTTTGTTGTTGTTGTTGTTTTTTAATAAAAATATCATCTATGTTTAATCATCCTGTTCTATCAAAGGGAAAGTAGGTAGTTGACTGAGACATAGCTAAATTTGTATTGATCTATGCATCATCATGAATTTTGTTTACTACAGACAGAGATTGGCCCTTCTGCTTGATTGCTTTGGATTTCTAAATACATTTTGAAAGACATTCCTTTTCAGTTTAGGAAAAAAAAAAAAAAAAAAAAGCATTCAAATTTGAAGTTTGCATCTTCATTTCAGAACAAGCAAACCTACTGATTCTTTCCAAATTCTGACAAATCAGGCAGTACTTTGGCTTTCTTGGCATTCTCTATGTCATCTTTATAATATCTTGTAAGAGCAGCTGCAGTCACATAGCCTCACTGGGGGACTTGAAAAGCTGCAGAGCTAAATTGTAAACATGTTGTAACAATCTTACACATCTTCAGGCTGCATGTGTAGTAGTTTTCACATCTAGGCTTCAAAAATATCATATACCACAAGAATAGAAAGACAAATGTTTTTCCTGTTTATGGAGAATATTCTGAGAATCTATCCTTGTTTTCTTTAGTCTCATGTTTCTTCAACTTCACCACACCATCTGGAATTATTCTTTCACCAAATTATCCAGAGGAGTATGGGAACAACATGAACTGTGTATGGCTGATTATCTCAGAGCCAGGAAGCAGAATCCATCTGATTTTCAATGACTTTGATGTTGAACCTCAGTTTGACTACCTTACTGTGAAAGATGATGGGATTTCAGATTTACCGCCTCTTGGCACATTTTCTGGCAATGAAGTGCCTTCTCAACTAGCTAGCAGTGGGCATATAGTAAGACTTGAATTTCAGTCAGATCACTCTACAACTGGAAGAGGATTTAATATCACTTACACAAGTAAGAATCTCTTATTTTGTCTAGCCAAACTATCTTTCATCAAAATAATGAAAATTAAACTTTTTTTTATTTATAATGAAGGGATAGATTGCCGCAGAAAAGGGGACAAAGCAAAATTGTAATACTTGCATAAATGTGTTACTTTTAGTTGTTTTCCTGGTACTCCTTTCGTTAGCTTATCTGGAACTTTATCATTTATTTATATAATTGTGATAGTACTGAAGAATGTACTTCATTATTTAATGACTTTTTTTGGTTGAAACTGCTGCAAATACCCTTGAAACTGCTGTAAATGCCCAGATAATTCATATCAAAGCATGCAGTGCAGGTGATTTAATATACTTTCTCAATGGAACTAGCAGAAATAAGTTCACAGAGTTTAGGTTTAAATGCAGAGGTTATTTGTTTTGTTTTGTTTTGTTTTGTTTGTTTTTTGTTTTTTGTTTTTGTTTGTTTGTTTGTTTGTTTGTTTTCTCATAGTTCTGAAATCACAGAAGTATAAAAAGCAGCTAGAATATAGAACATAGAATGGCTTGGGTAAGAAGGGACCTCAAGTTCCAACCCCTCTGCCACAGGCAGATTTTCCAACTTTTAGATCAAACACTAGATTAGGTTGCTCAGAGCTCCATCCATCCTGGCCTTTAACAATGCCAAGGGCAGGGCATCCACAACCTCTCTGGGCAGCCTGTTCCAGCACCTCACCAGTTCCTCAGTAATAAACTGTCCTGACATCTAATATCCATCTCCCCTTCTTTAGTTTAAAACCATCCCCCTTGTTCTATCACTATCTACCTGTGTAAAAAGTTGATTTCCCTCCTGTTTATAATCCCCCCTTAAATATTGAAAGTCTACAATGAGGCCTTCCCATAGCCTTCTCTTTTCCAGGCTGAATAAGCTAGCCTATCATTAGAGGACCTCTGATGTTCTTTGTGACCCTCCTCTGGACCCTCCCCCAAAGCTCCACATCTTTCCTTTGTTGGGAGCCTCAGACATGATCACAGTATTCCTGATGCAGCCTCACAAGAGCTGAATAAAGGGGAACAATCATCTCCCTCTCCCCGCTGGCCACCCCTCTTTTGATAGAACCCAGGATACTATTGCCCTTTCAGACAGCAAGAACACACTGCTGGCTCATGTTAAGCTATTCTTCAATCAGGACCCCCCTAAATCCTTCTCCTCTCAAGGAGTTCTTCTCCCAGTTTGTATGCATATCTGGGATTATTCCGACCCAAATGTAAAACATTGCACTTTGCTTGTTGAACCTTATTAGGTTCACAAGGGCCCAACTTTTGAGTTTATCGAGATCCCTGTGGATAGCACCCTTTCCTTCTGCTGTATCAACCACACTGCTAAGCTTGGTGTCATCAGCAAACTTGCTGAGGGTATGCTCAATCCCCTTATTTATATATCATTGATAAAGATGTTAAAAGAATACCAGTCTCAAGATGGACCAGTATACAGATTGTAAACAAATGTCTGTGGGAACATTTTTTGCTTTTGCAGTCTACCTTTTGGTGAGATGGTAAGGCATCTAAGAATAAACATCTTTGAGAAGGCAAATAAGTTCAAAAGTTCTTAAATGCATACCTGAGAGCAATTAAAAGCATAAATATTTCAAATTTGGCTTACTCGACTAAAAAATATTAGGCTGTGTTTTTTGCTGTATAGTATTCTGTTGTTTATATCAAAGCCTGTTATTCAACAGTACTCTTTGTTGAAAACTCCAGTAATATCACCTTCATGTAAAAAACACTGTGACACTTGTCATAGAATGCATACTCTCCTAGCTCTATTAGTCATTCAAAGACAACATATATGGAAATTATCCTTTTACTTGAAGAAATCATTTTCTACAGTTACAGAAGAAATTAACTTGCAAAATTTTTTCTTTCACAGTTTAAACTGTTCCTATCTTGTGTGAAGGAAGATAATGAATCTATTAGCAGTGCTCTTGCAGGGACAAAATGTTTATTTGCATTACTTAGAAAAATGCACCTTTTTAAGCATAGATGTCTAAATCATTCCTTTGTTTTCAGAGAAAGGGAGATAACTATTTTCCTTTGTAAAGTGGCAGTAGGAGAAAAGGGAGATCCTTACCTTGGCTAACTGTAGAGATTAACACATTTGTCAGAAAATGTGAGGCCTGAAGTTTAGGTCTGCTTCTGTCTGAAATTATTCAGATCCCTTTTTTCCATATGCCATTCTACTGAAGTTAAGGCAGACAGTAATGAAGACAATCAGCTGGAGAATTATACAGTTAGGAATATAATACTAATGCATCAAACTCTTCAAGAGTTCTCATTACATGCTCTTTCCACCACACTTTACTTAAGGCTTAGTGCATACACTATGTGCTAGAATTGTCTAAGAGCACATATATCTACCACAGTCAGAAACAGAAATAAGTTATGGGAATGTTTCATTCACATTCATAGGAAAACCCTAATTTCAGTCAAAGTGCTAGTACTTCTGGACCTCCTCTGTGTTGCTGGGAAAAAAATGTTGCACTCACATGGCTAAAATCAATTTAGGATCAAAGCATTTTATTCATTAATGAAACAATGGACAGCCTGTGAGCTGTAGATTCAGAATCACAGAATTTCAAAATAATTGAGGTTAGCAGAAACCTCATGACCCATCTGCCCTATTCCCTGCTCAAACAAGAACACCCACAGCAGGATGCCCAGGATCACATCCAAGTGGCTTTTGGAGATCTTCACAACCTATTTAGGCAACATCTACCAGTGGTCTATCACCTGCACAGAACAAAAGCAGGTCCTGGTGCTCAGAAACAACCTCTTGCGCTCCAGTTTCTGCCCATTTCTTCTTGCCCTGTCATTGGAGACCACTGAAAAGAGCCTGTCTCTGTCTTCTTTACACCCTCCCTTCAGTTTTCTATTAGATGTTGTTGAGATCCCCATGAGCCCCTTCTCCAGGCTGAATGGTCCCAACCTGAGAGTCCCCACCTTCTCAACCTCTCTTCATAGGAGAGATGCTTTCTTGAGAGTTTCTTGATCATCCTGATGTAATTATGTTGTACTCTTTTCAGAATATCTCAGTTTCTCATGCACTAGGGCGTTCAAAACTGGACCCAGTACTCCAGGTGAGGCCTCACCTGTGCTGAATAGAAGGATGAGCCCTCTTGACCTGCTGATGATACTATGCCTAATGCAGCCAACAATGCTATTAGCCTTCTTAGTGACAAAGTCACACCACTATCTCATGTTCAGACATGATCTGTATCAGCAGTGTAACAGATATACCGCAGTTTTAGGCGCTTAGAAACTGTACCATCTATAAACATGTAAGCACATTTCTGTTCCAGTCTATCACCCACCCTACCCTGTAAAGATTTTCATATATAGGATTTATGGGTTACTAGCACTCATCTGTTTCCCCTAAAGTGTTTCGCCTTGCATACGCTGCCTGAAATGGATGTAGGTTCTCCAGCTTTCTGTACACCCATGCTACTCTCTATGAGTGACTATAAGCATAATGGTGGAAGTGTGGGTTCCCAGTGATTATAATCCTTGCTGCCACTCCAATAACTGGAAGCTGGCTGCTATCCATATCCCTCTGGGAGGTTGTGTGTCCAGCTGAGGCAGAAGCTATAGTTTTTTCAGCAGCTCTCTGTTTATGTTGGATTAGCTTCAGTGTGAAACTACGCTTCTTGTAGTGTAGAGGCAAACAGATGGAAGATTTAAACAAATTGTTTTTGTGTCACACTCAACTAAAAAGCTTTAGAATTTGAACTGTGTTGTATTTGTTATCAAATGTCATAAAATCTAATGCAGGTTTTATAGTGGGGCATTTTCTATAATTTCAGTTACATTATAATGTTGTTGCTTTATAAAAGTTATCTCCAATGTCTGCCAAAAAAAGAGATAAAGTTTAGAAGATTTGAATGGTGATGGTTATTATTATTAATTACTATTATTATATATTTTAAAAGCATTTGGTCAGAATGAGTGCCATGATCCAGGTATTCCTATAAATGGGAGACGTTTTGGAGACAGGTTCCTGCTTGGAAGTTCTGTTTCTTTCCACTGTGATGATGGCTTTGTGAAGACACAAGGCTCTGAATCCATAACATGCATTATGCAAGATGGAAATGTAGTATGGAGCTCGGCTGTCCCACGCTGTGAAGGTAAGAACTCAGTCTTTACTTTGCTCCTACAGTGTGTATAATGAAACTTTTCACCTTTCATACACTAATAAGACTGTCTTAGCTGAAGTTATTTATTTGTCTTATTTTAACACTTTTCCAGTTTAATGAGAGTACAGTAATAGAAAAAAGTTTGCTTTTATATTCTTGAAATAAATTAGCATTCTAAAAATCTGGTTGCTGTTCTCTACCTATCACTATAATTACCTGCTTGTAAGTTATAGTTTTGGCTGTTACATACTGAAGAATATAATTATCTGGAACATAGAAAAGTGAAGTAAGTTTCTATTTAAAATTCTTTTTAAAAATTAGCACCTTTAATTTTCTCAGAGCAAAGGTATACCTGAAATCCTGTATATAACATATTAATCCACAGTAATTTCTCCTTAGAAATACTGTGAAAACCAGAGCTATATTTAATATTTCATATACATGCTAAAATATTTAATCAAATATTTCCAAGTTTATTTGCTTGTTTTTCCCTAAATGAAGAAACAGAATAAAATTGTATCATTCTGTGAGATGAAGTACAGTAAGAGCACAAAAAGAAAAAAATAGGCTGATTCCTTGGTGCTTAACAATGATGGTGCTCCATAGGTACTATGGCAAGACATATGAGTGAGTACATTTTATATACACCTAGTGTGCTCATGTTATAAGCACAGGGTAATAAAATAAAAAAGAGTAATATCCAGAAAGCTGTATATCTTCTTGTAAACAATAGTTACATACTCAGGCACTTAATGAAATGAGAGCTGCAGGGGAATCTGTGCATCAGTGCCTGAGCATCTCTTCCCCCTTCTTTGCTTACCTTGATGTCTGCAGGGTTGTTTCTCACACAGTTTTCTCACTCCTCTCTCTTAAGAGCTGCTGTACGGTAGTTGTTTTTGTTGTTGTTGTTGTTGTTGTTTTTTACCCTTTATTAATTTTTTTTTATTATCTGGATGATTTGGCAACTCAACTCAGATAAGACTTTGCATTTCTAAGAAAACTTAGAAATACTAGGAAGAATGCTAGAGTTTGATACTTGTGTATGCAAACTTATGTATACTTGCAAGACTTCTGATTAAGCCATATAATGAGTTCTGCTGTGCAGCAAGTTTGTTCTTTTTTGCTTACAGAAAAACCAACTCACACCAAGGCACAGAACATAGGGGAGATTCTTCATCAAAAGATGTTTCCTCATTTTGAAACTTTATGCACATAATTGATAAAATATTCAGTGTAATCTTTGTTGTTTTTTTCCACAAACATGTAGGTAAAAGAGCCACTTTGAGTAAAAAAAAATGGTAGAGAAAATAAATGAAAAACTGTTCAAAAAAATACATAGATATCCCTCGATTATCCTTTATCTGAACCTTGTTGGGCATTAGCTATTTATGAATGGTAAAAAGATTCAACTTCATATTAGATTTTGTCTATTGTATGTTTTGTTATAGAAGGAATTGTAGATCATTAAAGTTACATTCAAGACCTATTCTGTTTTGCTGTGTATTCACTTTTAATTGATAATAAAAGGAGTTTCCGGTTTTAAATTACAATATGGAGCAAGCATCCTTGCTAGTTTAGAGATGATTTAGTATGCTTCTGGTTGTCAGATATTTCTGAGTAACCGTTGTTGTTTTTTCTTGCTTTGTATTGCTTTATAATTAACAGTCTCTGATATAAGCAATACCTGGAATATGTAAAGTACATGATGTGTTACAATCAGCTAAGGGTCAGCAGTCTTCTGGTTTGTGTTTTAATATGACCAGATTTAATTAAAAATAAAAGCCTTGGAATACACTTCATTATCCATTTTCTTGGCTGATTGCTTTACCCCCGAGACAATTAACTGTGTATATTTCATTTCTGTGAGTTGCTTCCTCCTCCCTCTCCACCCCCCTGACTTTCTTAAATCTGGAAAAACTTCTCAGAGATAAGTAAGTGCAAGTCGTGAATGAAATCAAAATAATGTCTCTTGGTCCAATTTTTGTTAAAAGCATTAAATCAAACCTAGGAGTATTAATTTACTACTCACAAATTCATGTTAACATTAATTTCCATATGGCATAATAGGTTTGCTTGTCACTACTTCAAGAAACAGAAGAGAAATAACAAGATTTCCTGCACTGCAATATGGAATTTGCTGATAATGATACCACTGACTAGTTGAGTGTAATACAAATGATACTAAGATAAATTTAACTGACCTTGAAAGCTTTCCTGTTTTAGACTGCTAAATAGCCTTTGGTAGAATACATCATCCCAAAGCCCTGTTCTATAGATGCTTAATTTTAAGATGGACTTAACATTTCTCAAATTGTGTTCAATATCTGCTGATGTTGTTTTATCCTTTACCAAAGTCCCCTGAAAGATGTTCTATGCCTCACCATGTTGCTTTCAAGCCACTTTTCAATTATTTTTGTCCTTTTATTGGAAGAAGATCAGATTTATCAAACTTGCTGTATGAGAAAAGACCTGATGGAATACAGTGAGTGCTGAGGAAGCTAGCCAGGGGCGTATCAAGGCTGTTCTCAATTGCCCTGGAAAGGTCTTGTGTCTGGGGGAGGTTCCAGAGGTCTTGAAACCTATCTTCAAGAAAGGAAAGGAGGACCTGAGGAATTCCAAGTCTCACCTTGATCACTGGGAAAAGTGATGCACCAATATTCCTGGAAACCATTTCCAAATACTGAAGGATAAGAAGATGATTGGGAGCAGTCAGAATGGATTTATGAAGGGGAAATTATGTCTGACTGATCTGGCAGCCCTGTACAGTGAGATGACTGGCCTGATGGATGAGGGGAGAGTAATAGATATTTTTTATCTCAGTTTTAGCAAGGTGTTTGACACTAAATCATATTAGATTCTTATGGGAAAATTGATGAAATATTGGTTAGATAGTGAACTGCAAGGTGAATGGAAACTAGCTTAGCTATTGGGCTGAAACGATTGTGATCAGTGAATGGCATAAAGTGAATGGCTGGAAAACAGCCACTAGTGGTGTACCACAGGAGTAAATATTGAGCCCAATACTGTTGAAAATCTTCAGTACCGGAATAGGGACAAAATACACCTTGAACAAGCCATCGGATGACAGAAACCTGGGAGTAGTGGCTGATAAATGATATGGTTGTCCTATTGTTCAAACAGGCTGTGACAGGCTGAAGAATTGGAATGAGTTGAAGTTCAAGAAAAGAAGGTGCCTTTACTCCCCCTTTACTCATCTGTTAAGTCTGTGTCTGCAGAGCTGAGACTTGGTATCCCCAGCAGAAAAAAGATATGGGCCATACAGCAATGAGTCAGGTGGTGTCACAAAAATGATTAAAAGCTTGGAGATTTCATACAAGAAGAGGCTGAGATAACTGCAGTCATCTGGACTAAAAAAGAACACTTGGATCTCTGGAGAGATTTCTTCAAAGCACTTAAGTACCTGATTCCATGGTGTAAAGAAAATTATCTGTTGACACAGATAATGTGGCAATGGACACAAACTGAAATACAAGATATTATTTTTAAACAGAAGAAAAACCTTTTACTGTGAGAGTGATCAAACAGTGGAACGCAGTACCCAGAGAGGTTGCAAAGTCTTTGCCTTTGGAGAGAGGGCATGACCCTCACTGTACATGGTTCTGTGTAATCTGCTGTAAGTGACCCTGCTTTGAGCAGGAACAGATGATCTCCAGAGGCCCCTTCCAATTGTAGTTCAGTGGGATATTCATAACAATCGTTTCCACTGAGCTGAGTCATTATTCGATAGGATACTAGATGGCAGAGTGTGATGGGAAAAAAAAAAAAAAAAATTACTTGGAACAATTTGCACACAAATATGGAGTCATATTAGAAGTAAAAATGACAGTATAATATTTTTTAATTTTAAGGAATGCTCACAATTTCAAATGCCACTTTCTGTGAATTAAGGTATGTGTAGAGTGATAAGCTAAGGTGAGATACACTGCAAGACTTAAGAGACTGAGAGAAGGTGCTTATAATACTACAGAATAATAAGAAAAATAGCACTGTGTATTAAACTTTTTTCTGTACTTTTGAATTGTTTATTATTTGTAGCATGATTTGAATATAAAATAGTGCATTAAAAATAGTGTATGTTTTTTATTCTTGCAGCACCATGTGGTGGGCATTTGACAGCATCGAGTGGTGTGATCTTGCCACCAGGGTGGCCAGGATATTATAAGGATTCACTTAACTGCGAATGGGTCATTGAAGCAAGACCAGGACATTCCATTAAGATTACTTTTGACAGGTGGGAATCATAAAGGAAAACACTAAGTAATGTACAACCACAATTTTTTTTATAGCAATGAAGAAGAAAAATATTTAAGAACTCAAACCAGAATAAGAAATGATTGCCACGTGACACTGTACTTAGTTATTCCTGTTCTTCCAGAAAATTAAAGGTTAAAGCTTCATTTATATTGTATGAATTTATGGTTTAAACAGTATGCAGTAAATGTCCACCTGCTAGTACATCATTAGCGATGTCTTTTACACTCCTCACTATTTTTGTCTTCATGAACAACTATGTATTGTCCATTATGATGATCAAGTCTAACTAATGGAGAGTATAAATTTCCTAGGGAAAAAAAAAATTGTACAAGAAGTTCTGAATTAAGCTTATTATATATATAGTACTACAGCATGTATCACTTCAATGTGTACTGGGTTTCAACATTTTATTTGGATACTCCAAATTTCACCATGTGTACTAGCATAGCGATTAAACAAAGATGTCCAGACATCAGAATACTGTTAAAGGCGGAGACTGAAAGTTCGTTTTAAAGTATTATCTAACTAAAACGATCAACCCAATTAATTTGTAAAAATGTTATCTTAATGTGGACTGAAATTAGCTCTGTTGGAACACACAGTGACTATGTCTCTGTGTAATGAGCAGATTCCTTTAGAATAACAACTATTTTTGAAGGTGAATTATTTTCAGCTTTGTCTTACATGGAGTCAGGAAGTAGTGAGACTGCATTTTGGCACCAGGAATGTGAACTGCAGCATTTCATCTTTCTGAGACCTTAGTTTTCTTTGTGATCTCAGTTAGATCTGTTCTCTAATCATACTGGAATCTATTCAATTTATGATTAACAAAAAAAGATCTTCACCCTTGAGCATCTTTGTAAAATAAGTAAGAAATTGCCATTTGCTTAGTTGCTTGATCTAGATGGTAATAGCACACTAGTTACTCATTTGACATAGAGAAAGATGTAAAGGATAATATGAAAGATGATGCCTGAAGCTAGACTGCAATGGCCTTCCTGTATTATTGTTGCCCAAGGGGAGGCAGTAGCGTATGCCTATTTTACCTTTGCAGAGTCCACAATGATGAGCAAAATTATTCATTAATACGTATTTATAAGCCTTCTATGTCTATGTGCAGAGACAAAAAATATGTAAATGAATGAAGAACAGAAGAATGTAAAAGTGACTGTTAGAGGGTAAAACAAAAGATCTATCTTTTTTTGTGTTCAGTGAGTTTCTCCATATCTCACTTCTATTAATTAGTTTGGTGTCCTCATGTACTCATGTAAACTTGACATTCACAACATTCTTCAGTTTGGGAAACACAGTATTTATTGCAGACTGAAGTGCTAGTTACTTAGCAGGACCACTAGGAACCTACTAAAATAAGCAGGGCTACTAGGAAAAAGTTGAAAAGCAAGTGAACAGAACTGACAGCCTTCCTCTTTTGGGAGTCCTGAATGAATACAAAGTTTGAAATAGCTGAATGCAGTGTATATGAAATACCAAGGAAAGAAAAGTATGGCATTTCTAAAAGATTTAAAGATTTTGTTTGTTGATGTCAGAAAGCATAGAAGTACACTGGATATAATTTACCCAGATTTCCAGAATGTGATTTTTTATTTTGCATCTCACTCTGTAAATGGCTATTAAAAAGCACCATTTTATTACAAAGAAGGAAATTGCTTGATAAAAAAAGTAATTAACAGGAGGTAATAATCTTATAGTAAAATGTTTTGTATAGCAGTCTGTGTTCAACTGTTTGTTATGTTCAGAAATTATCTTAAAAAGGAAAAAAATGGACTGTTGATACCAAATCACTTGGGGTATTAAAAAACAGAGATGACCGAAGAAGTCCTGAAGAATCTTATAGGGCTGGATATGTAGGCAACAAAATTGCAGTTAGATTAAGTAAATGCAGAATGAATCATGTAAGAAAAAGTATTCTACCTTAATATATAAAATGATGGATTTTGAGAGCTTGCACTAACCACTGAACTGTTACATTTCTTATCACTCTCTATAAAGAAATATGAATGAGAACTTCTAATACATTCATAAGAGTTTTGGAATCATGTCTGTGGTGATGAAACTACTGTAGGGTGAAAGATTAACATAAACTATATATTTAGTTTATTGAAACTCTTTTCCTGTCCTGTTTTATAACTTTATTTCCTTTTAACTTGATTAAAGTCAATAACAAAGAGAGAATAACAACAGGGAAGGATGGAAGCTGTTTAAAAAGTTATTTCATTAAATTGCTATGTCACCTCTGTAATGGATGTTTGCTTTCATAGAATCATACAATCATAGAGTCACCAAAGTTGGAAAAGACATCCAAAATCATCCAGTCCAACTGTCCACCTATCACCAATATTTCCCACTAAACCATGTCCCTCAGTACAACCTCTAAACATTTCTTGCATGCCTCCCAGATCAGTGTCTCCACCACCTCCCTAGGCAGCTCATATTTCCTAATATCCAACCTGCACCTCCCCTGGCACAACTTGAGGCCATTCCCTCTCATCCTATCACTCGTTACATGTAAAAGGAGGCTGACGCCCACCTCACAACAACCTCGCCTTTCAGGTAATTGTAGAGAGCAATAAGGTCTCCTCTGAGTCTCCTCTTTTACAGACTAAACAATCCCAGCTCCCTCAGCTGCTCCTCATAAGGTCTGTGCTCCTTCTTGGCCACCTGGGCACGCTGCTGGCTTGTGTTCATTGCATTCAATAGGAAGTTCCAGAATTTAAGACACTGTTTTTTCTTGTCCCTGTTAAAATCTTTCTGTATAAATTGCAAGCTTATATTTGTTTGTTAGCTTTGCCCTTTCAGTTTAAAATTAATTATCAGAAGCTGGAAGTTTCAGGATTTCTTTCAAAATGTAGAGAAAGCAAACATCTTAGTTGTAAAATGGAGCATTTTAATTTTTGTAAGAGGAAACAGGTTGCATGTACTTGCATACTTTAACAGTGTGAACACTATACTTCTCAAGAAATTAATGGAAAACACGATTTCCTGTGCCATATGGTCGAGTTGAAGACTACATTTACTGAATTTTCAGCAGATGCATATATTCACAGAATTATACAGCTTTGTGTACAAATCAAACTGTGATGTAATTAAACAAAAGTTTTAAGTTTCAGCATTATTAAGGCAAGGCTTTGGCCTTCTTTCTCTAAATATTTCAGTAACATGTTAGTCATACTATTAAGTACAATGGTTTTGGTAGACAGGAAAGCTGCCATTGGAACTTTATGCCAGTGTTCCTGGTAGATTTTGAAAATTGTATGGCTTTATTGCATCGTAGAATAAATATCTTTAAGAGTGATGGGAAGTTGATGATCAAAAAAAAAAAATAATAATAATATTCCTTTGCATAAAAGTTCTTTTCTCCTAATACGACAGCTTTGCTACCCACATCAAAACTTGAATAGAAAACCTGTTTATAATTTAAAAGAAGCTAACTCTCCTGATTGATATAATGTTATTAAATTACAAACCATTAAGCAAAATCAGTATCAATAATCAGTTAATCAACAAGTACAATATTTTTCATGTATTTTGTCTAGTCCAGGGAAAATAAAATCCTCTTATATTTCACTGCATGTCTTGCCATCACAGATGCAGCTACCAGAATGAAATTTTGCACAGTACATGTGATATTCATAATGTAAATGAGCTCCCCCTTGAGCTAATGAGACTTCAATACTGCTAGACATATAACCCTTAGTAGAGTACTTAGAAACTCTCCATAAATAGCAGCAGATGATAAAATAACCCCATGAATGTTTTGCATTGAAACATTCTGAATCTCAGGTCACAGCTAATGCCTGGAAGTGTAACAAAAGAGTAATGTCTGATTGTTTTGAGTCAGAAGGAAAGAACTTAGAAGGGTAAATGCTGAAATTTTTTGTTGTTTTGAATATTGACAAAAACTTATTGGGTAGCTGGTAAAACTAGCCTCTTCAAAATCTGCCTAAATACATGAAAAATAGTGTAATATTTCTTAAAATTCTCTGGGACATTTGGAGAATGTCCTATTTTTTTTACCAACAGAAGTGTATGCTAATAGAAATTAAAATATTTTTTAAGTTACTCTTATTTCTTTTCAGTAAGAATGTAGAAATTCCCATAGTATTTTTTTTTTTTTTTTCAGTGATAGTGCAAAGGTTGCTCCAAACCTTAAAAACAGAAAAGTTAACTAGAAATAAGTTTCAAATTTTGAGATGAACTAGAATCTTCTGGAAATAAAGATCAATGTAATGGGCAGCAGTTCCCAGGGGAGTCCCTTGGGATTCAGTTTTAGAGAGTAAAGGGGTCCAAGATGGCTGGTCGCTCTTCAAGAAGGAAGTCTTAAAGATGCAGGAGCAGGCTGTCCCCCTGAGCCACAAAATGAGCTGGCGGGGAAGAAGACTGGTGTGGATGAATAGGGAGCTATTCTTGAGGTTCCAGGAGAAAAAGAGAATCTATCCCCTGTGGAAGAAGGGACAGGCAACTCAGGAATAGTACAGAGAAATTGTTAAGATGTGCAGAGAGAAAATCAGAAAGGCAAAAGCCCAGCTTGAACTCAGCCTGGCTGCTGGGGTAAAAAGGAACTCTTTTACAAATATATCAACAGTAAGAGGAGGACCAAGGAGAATCTCCATTCTTTACTGGATGAGGCTGGGAACGTGACCCACTGAGGATAAGGAAAAGGCAGAGGTTTGGAATGCATTGTTTACATCTGTCTTTAGAGGTCAGACCAGTTATTCTCAGGGTACTCTACTCTGACCTGTAGTCACTGCTGGGGAGCAGGCAAAGCCCCCCACGATTCAGGAGGAAACAGTCAGAGATCTATTACTCCAACTGGACTGCCACAAGTCCATGGGGCCAGATGAAATTCACCTGAGAGTGCTGAGGGAACTGGAGGAGGTGACAGCCGAGCTGCTTTCCATCATCTATCAGCTTTCTTTGCTGACTGGTGAGGTCCCAGAAGACTGGAGGCTTGCCAACATGACTCCCATCTACAAGAAGGGTTGTAAGGAGGATCCAGGGAACTACAGGCCTGTTAGGCTGACCTCGGTGCCAGGGAAGGTTATGAAGCAGATCGTCTTGAGGGAGATCATGCGGCATGTGCAGGACAACAAGGGGATCAGGCTCAGTCAGCGTGGGTTCACAAAGGGCAGGTCCTGCTTGACCAACCTGATCTTCTTCTATGATCTGGTGACCTATTTGTGGATGAGGGAAAGGCTATTGCTATAGTCTACCTAGACTTCAGCAAAGCCTTTGACACTGTCTCCCACAGTATTCTCCTGCAGAAGCTTGCAGCCATTGGTTTGGACAGGTATGCTCTTGGCTGGGTAAAGAACTGGCTGGAGGGTAAGGCCCAGAGAGTGGTGGTGAATGAGGTAAATCCAGCTGGTGACTGGTCATGAGCAGTGTTCGCCAGGGGTGGGTGCTGGGGCCTGTCCTTTTCAGTATCTTCATTGAATACCTGGATGAGGGCATTGGGTGCACCCTCAGTAAGATTGCAGATGATGCCAAGTTGGCTGGAAGTGTCGATCTGCCTGGAGGTAGCAAAGCCCTACAGAGGGATCTGGACAGGCTGGATAGCTGGGATGAAGCCAATGGGATGAGGTTCAACAAGACCAAATGCTGAGTTCTGCACTTTGGCCACAACAACCCTACAGGCTTGGGGTGGAGTGGCTGGAAGACTGTGTAAAGGAAATGGACCTGGGGGTATTGATTGATGCTCAGCTGAACGTTAGCCAGCAGTGTGCCCAGGTGGCCAAGAAGGCCAATGGCATCCTGACTTGCATCAGAAACAGTGTTGCCAGCAGGAACAGGAAAGTGATTGTCCCCCTGTACTCAGCTCTGGTGAGGCCGCACCTCGAGTACTGTGTCCAGTTTGGGGCTCCTCACTGCAAGAAAGACATTGAGGCCCTGGAGCGTGTTCAAAGAAGGGCAACAAAGCTGGTGAGGAGTCTGGAGCATAGGCCTTATGAGGAGTGGCTGAAGGAGCTGGAATTGTTCAGTCTGGAGAAGAGGAGGCTCAGGGCAGACCTCATTGCACTCTACAACTACCTGAAGGGAGGTTGTAATGAGCTGGGGGTCAGCCTCTTCTCTCATGTAACTGGTGGGAGGACTAGAGGGAATGGATTCAAGCTATGCCAGGGGAGATTGAGGCTGGATGTTAAGAAATACTACTTCTCTGAAAGAGTGGTCAGGCACTGGAATTGGCTGCCCAGGGAGGTAGTGGAGTCACTGACCCTGGAGGTGTTCAAGGAACGTTTGTACATTGTGTTGAGGGACATGGTTTAGTGAGAGCTATTGGTGATAGGTGGATGGTTTACTGGATGTCTTTTCCAACCTTAGTGATTCTGTGATTCTGTAATTTTGTAGGTGTTACTATAAGATTTGTTTTTCCAACAAGTCTGCAACCTATCATTGTCACACCACCCTACTAAGAAAACCGCAGTTGCTGACTAAAAGCACTTTATTTCTAATTAGTTCCCCTCACAAATACAACTGTTAAAGTAATTGAAATATTGAAGTATTGATTTTGAGTCCACTCATTATGAGTACAAATAGAGTATTAAAACCAGACTAGTAGTATGTGTCTGTTTTCCTTATTCTGCTTCAGGGTAAATCAATATATATAATCTTTAAAATTATGGAACGGTACTGAATAATTGTCAAGTACTTGAGTGATGTCCTCTATCTATTTTAGTAATCTAAACAGTACCAGAAAACCTTCTAGATTAAAAAACTCAGTGTTTACACAGTTTTTGAAGTAGTGTCTACTTCACTTGCCAACTACTGTCAGCTAGATCAAGCATGGTTCAGGAACAACTGTGGGCAGGCAACCATTTATAATAAGAAATTTGAATAATATCTTCATGTTTGGAGGGCCAGAGTATGTAAAAATATGGATGTAGGTCATTCCATATTTGCTGTCTTAAGCGCCAGAGACAAGTCCCAAGCATGCTTAATGCATTAACGTGTGCACAAACATTTTATTCTACTTTCAGAGGAGATAGCAGTGAAAGCAGGCATCTGGATTTTAGCCAGTATACCCAAACAGAGTATGTAGTTTGGTTGACAGCATCACAAACTTAGAGAGTTTTCTGGGTAAAGAGGAGAGAATCTTGTGTAAGGCATAAATCAAAGTTTCCAGTCATTAGTTAAGCAAAGACTTTCAGATTTCTGAATGTGTTTTTGTTACTAGGGTCTCGAGAGAGCAGGAACGACAGAAGTTACTACTTTCTATTAGTCATACTGATGTGTATGTAAAGATGACTTCAAGTTGAAGTCATCTTTACATACAGTCTCAAATCAAGCAAATTTGATTGTAAAATGTAATGGCCTAAATGGGAAAAGATGTTCATTCTGTCATTGTTGCCTACACAGTATAGTTTATTTTAACTTTGAATGAATGTTACATGCATCTCTGGTTTTTCAAATGTTTGGTAATTTGCCATTGTAGTTAATTACAAGGGCATAGTTTCTTACCTCCAACCCACTAAACATCTATCTTGTATCAGATAGATGACTTAAGAGCATTAATTTTGAAACAAGTGCACGGGGACAGAGTTTTTTTGCTCTGAACAGTTGAACTAATAAACTCTTTGGGAAAGACAGGACAGTCTCAGAAGAACATGTACGTTTTTTATACTTGATCTGAAAATTTAACATTTTATAAAAGTAAGAACATTGTGTCTGTATGGATATCTGTGTAATTGTATATACTTTTTTGATAGGAAAATTGATGTGCAAAGATTTAGATGTTACAGTTCACAAGAATATTTAATATAATCACAAACTGTCTTGAAATGAATTTGATGTGAAGAAATGTCAGTCAAATTTTCATGTACAGAAAGAGCAGATCTGAGCCACTGATTTAAAAATAGCTACTAGTGGATGACTGCACATTCAGACATATTTTCTGAACTGGGGAAATGTGATGTGGTTTAGTGATTGACAAAGATATTGATTGAACTGTTGATTTTAAAGTTATTTCTTCTTGCAAATCAGCTTTCTTGTTAGTATTATCTTTTCCCATTCTTTTCTATATTTAGATAGGCAAGGAAATCTGTAACAAATTTCAAAATGAAGGTTTAAATTCAGTTTACTACTTTTCTTTTTAACTTCATAGGAGAAATAAATTATTTATAGATAGTGAACTGTGTTAGAAAAGAATATTCGGATAAAATATTAAGCATTGAATATTTAAAACAGCTTTTGCCAAACAACAAATATCAAATAATGAAATAGTTGAAATGAAATAATAAAACATTATTGAAGGTGTTTCTATAATGTCAAATCGTTTCTTTTTAACCTGATAGCAAGAAATTTCTCAATAAAGTTTTCTAAGAGACAATTTGCAGATGTGATTTTGAAACCCAGTCATATGGTTGATCTGAAGTACATATATATTATGACTACATTGTAAATTTCATACAGTATTTATATGATAAAACAAAACAACAAAAAAGATGTGTAAGATCTTCCTAAGTTGTTATTCACAGTAATGAATTGCAGATAATCATCTGTAGATACACTACTTTTTATATATATGACTTCCTTCCTCAGTATATGCGTTGAATTTCTAACAGCATTCTTCTGCCTACTAGACTTATATATTTCTTCTCAGATTTCAGACTGAAGTTAATTATGATACTTTGGAAGTCAGAGATGGACCAGCTAACTCATCACCATTAATTGGAGAATACCATGGAACACAAGCACCCCAGTTCCTTATCAGTACTGGCAATTACATGTATCTGCTCTTCACTACAGATAACAGTCGTTCCAGTGTTGGCTTCCTAATTCACTATGAGAGTAAGTCTGATATTTCTCTGACATCTTTTCATTTAATTTTGAAAATAACATTCAATTTGAAAATGTACAAAGAGATATGAACAAATATATGGTGGTATTTATATTTGTATAAGGGCAAATTATGTTTACTCTTAAAGTGTACTGACAGATAACTATGAAGCCATTAGTTCATTTTGGAAAATTTTACTTAATGAGTTATTGCATTTTATGCAGAACGCTCTTTGCCCTAGGTGTTTAGCCAAATGGAAAGCCATTTTAGAAACTTACCCTTCAGGGTAAAGATATGTTGATTTTGTTTGTTCCCCTTCTCCCTCCTTCACTGCCTCTCATTCTTTCTCCATTTTTTTATGTACTTTGCAATACAGAGCAGAATTGCGCCTTAGCCATAGTGATTCCACAATGCAGTTCAGTGCACAATAGTGTCTCCCTTTGAACTCTAGAATCACTGTAACACTATTTTCTTTAAAATTAGATACATAGAATTACATATGTTAAACTCTCAGGTGTTACATGATAGTGTAGTTATTCATGTAGATACTGAATAGAACACATGTGTTTAGTGTGTCACGGAGTTAACTAAATCAATCTATGCCCGTGACAGGGGGACAGTAGGCCCCTGCCCCCTCCCCCTCCCCCCCCCCCAAGCCCCACAAAATGGGAAGGAAGGAAGGGGGGGGAAAGAAAAAAAAACAAAACAAAACAGTGGCAACAGTGGCAACAATCTATGGAGGAAAACTTATTTTACTAACTATGATATCAGAATGCAAGATAACACAATATAATATAATGTAATTGAAGTTGAGACTAATAAATAAATAGGAGAGAGAGAGTTCATGAGACCGAGTCAAACCTGAAAAGCTTGGAACGGCTAGGAAAGCACCCTCCAGCACGCACTGCCAGGTAGTAAGAGGCCGTCACATCCGGAAGGGTCAGATCCCATGACTTCCGTAATGTACAGTTGAATCTTGAAGTTGAATCTTGCTCTGAATTTCCACACTGTGAAACAAAGAATAGCCTACCTGTCAGAAACCATAATGAGGTGTATACTGCAGCTTAAGCTATACAGAAAAAGTTTGCTAAACACTTCATGCGTATGTGGGGTGTTTGCTTCACAAGGTCAGTCACTGCATCTCTGGTCACGTTGCTTTCTTTTGGCACTACTTTTCCCTGAGAGCAAAAATCATCTGCATTGTGTCCATGCAATGTTCATATGACATAACTGAAATTTGTTCTAGGTTCTCTATCCTTTTGCTAGTCACTGTTTGGAGCTCGTGAAGCATTTCTATGATGGGTATCAGACATGGGTCCCTTCTTGATTCTTATCTGTTTATTGACAAATATTATATACTGGGGAAATGTAGTTATAGTAACAAGAATGGAAATACTAAGCAGATGAACTCATAGTTTTCAAAGAGCAAAACCAGGTGGAATGATTCAGTGGAGATTCTGCATATTCTGCTGGGAACAGATGAGGTCAAAATTGATTGCCTTTGTAGACTTCACTGTAGAGGTTGCTTGTGCTAAAGATATTTTGTGTGTAGAAGAACAGACCATCAACTAAAAGGTTTTAAAAAAGTATCTGAATACTTTCTTGGGAAAATCAACTTTTATTTGGAGGTGTCCTGAGAATCTTCCAGTAATAATCATAACTTGATTGTTTAGATTTGCTTTTCAAAAAGAACTTTTTAGAACTTTTAAAATGTGCAGCCTTCGTGGACTTCAGTTGAAAGCATTGAGAAGATTCAAACAGCTCACAGTCAGTTTTAGAAATTATAAACTAAATGCTTTCTTACACTTTTTCATTCAAGCTACAGTCTTTGTAAATAGTCAGCATATGAAAAATAATTCATCAAACTTTTGGTGGCAGATTACACTTGAAAATGTTAGTGGAATATTGGGGAAGAACTTTTTCTTTCAGCAGTTGATTTTATTCTGAGTAATAAGAAGAACCTATAGAGAGCTTGAATAAGAAAGGCAATTTTTGTGAAAGCACCCATGAAATTACAGAGGTTATAGTTCTCAGGAAATAGATGAATGAGGTAGGTAACACAATTATGATAAAGTCAATGTTTTTCAGGAATACAAATGTCATCCAACTTGAGAAATTGGTAGATGATTTTCCTAAAGAATCAGTTTTGAAAGGCATTTATAAATAATATTATAATAACCATTGCTGTAGCTTATTTTAAATCTCTTTTAATGATACAGATTTGAAAAGTTAATAATATGTAAATGCTGTATGTATTCAGACATTGATATGGATAACTGTCGATAAATAACATAGATCTCTTAGGATAAAATCAGAAAATCTACAGTGCATATCTAGCGACAAAAACAGAGATAAATTCAGTAACAAAAATATATAAAAAAACACTCAAAATATATCAAATTAATTATTTAATGAGAATTGCTGCAAACATCAACTGCCACATGTAAGATTAAATGTTTTTTTGTTTGTTTGTTTGTTTTTGCAACATTTACAGAAATGCTTGATTACATTCATATACTTAACACCATTAAACAAACATTTTCAATGTAAGAACATACTACACAATATTGTGATAAAGTACTGTGAAAGTACCAGGAAATCCTTACATGCAAAGCATAAGCAGTCTCCACTATGCTGAAAATACCCTCCAGGTTCTCTTTAGAGAAGGAGCTTTTCAACAGTTCTTTGGAGAAAGAATGATAAAAGCTCTTGTAATAACAGCATGCTTCTCTTTCCTTTTGTCATCTACCCTCCCATTTCACTGCCTTCACTTACCTGCTTCTCTCTTCACTGGTGCAGGTTACCCAGAAATGTGGTGGATACTCCATCCCTGAGGACACACAGGATTGGGTTGGGTGGGGCTCTGAGCAAAATCTACCTCCAAGTGTCCCTGTTCATTGCATGGGAGTTGGACCAGATGACCTTTAATGCTCCAATCTTTTAGACATTCCTACCATTTAACTTTAAGCCTATTCTCATGTATGATTACAACCCATTCCAACTAGCATTTTCCCATTCAGTACCTCGGTATAACTCTAGGGATAACTTCAGCTAGAATCACAGAATTATAGGGGTTGGAAGGGAACTGTAGAGACTGTTCTCAACAGGTAGCAGGGACGAGTCCATGCTGTTTTGAGGTGGGCAAGGTGTATGAATGCTAGCTGAATAATGCATTGAAATTGGGACCCCTCTATAATTTAATTATATGGCCTCCAATTCTAATGCTTGGAAGTGTGTTCTGACACCTGCCTCACAAAGAATAGCACTCTTGCATTTAACTGAAGTGTTTCTATTGTTCAAAATATTCTTTTCACTGGATAGCACAGGAACTGCTCCTCATCTAACAGTGGCTATAGAACTAGCCACATTTTGGTTTCTAACCAGCCTTATTTTCTTCATCTATTTCATACAATGAGCACTATTTAAACCATCTCTTAACAATCTTACCTTAATATTTCATTTTTCTAATGATTTTAACTATCTGAAGTGTAATATATGAGTATATAGTTAATAAAACTGTATATCTGTTTTATGCTTCAATCGTTGTATTTATCAACAGATTCATTTCCTCTTTTGAGATCTAATGAACTCTAACTATTTAACCAGTTTCAAAAAATTGATTATATTTCCATTTGCAAAATATGCATTTTAATAATAAATGGAGCATCTTATATAGCTAGCAAACCGGAAAATTGATGAATGTTTGATGAAGTGTCAATATTGACAGTAAAATTTTTAAGGATGCTTGTCCATATATTTCAATTATACAGTGATGTATCACATCTGCTTTGTTTGTATGTTTGCAGTTTTTGTTTGTTTGCAGATTTTGGATTGTGTGTTATGTTCCTTTAAAAAGAGTATGATTAAATTATAGGATAGAATATTATTTGCTTATGTCATTCTCACTGATGCACAGCAAAGCCAAAGAAACATAGTTTCATCTAGACTTCAGTCTTATATTTATTCAACCACTTGTTACAAATAGTGTAATTTTTCAAACCCTGGACATACAGTTTATCACTTGATGCCAAAATTTCTCATGTATACTTTAAGGTTGTCTTTTTAGAGTCAGGACTCGACATTACCTATTATTAAGCTTGTCTTAAGTTATCTCCCATTGAGAAAGAAAAAAAAACAACAAAAAAACTATGTTCAAAGAAGCAATATAAAGTGCCTTCTTTTTAGGTCTGTGTATGTTTGCCAAACATCAAATCTGAATATTTTCTCCTTAAAGTGAAGTCTTTTTGCCCAAGCTGACTTTCTTTATATACAGCACCACTATTTCAATTACAAAGCTGGAAGCTGCAAGGATTACTACACCTTCTGTTGTCCTTGAAAATACCTGGAAAGTCATATTTTATCATTTCAAAACAAAACCAATAAAATTTTACCTGTTATATATGATTTGGAATCCTAAAACAGTATATGTGTTGTGAAAGGGGTGATGGGGTGCTTAAAGAGGAAAGAATTTTAAGCGCCCTGCCATGGACTTCCATCTACTGTAACATACCTCAAAACACAGTATATAGTTTGTGAAAAAAATATTGTATTAATGTTAAAGTTTAATGTGCTATTAATATTTATTTATGCCACTTATAGCAATGAATATTGTGTACTTAAAACAGTTTTTTGAGTCTATATTAATCCATTTAAGCCGAACAAAGGGAATCTGGCTTCCCTTCTGTAATGTTCTGTATGCATTGAGAACATGTAGTCACATCTAAAAGAAATTTACTCATCTAGCATTTAAGTAGGTACCTTACGGCAGAATTCTTAACTGGAAAAGTAGCTGGAGAGTACGGGGAATCTTTCTCCGAGTAAGATAAAATCTTTTTTTTTTCATGTTTTCAGTTGTAGTTCTGATTCTAATCCTCATATCCTCAAATTCTAAAACGTTTACGTTATGCCCTTGTAAGTCAATCTCTTCCTTTCTTTGAAACTACCTTTACTTAATCCTTAATGTTATGTGGTAGCCCTGGATAAATAGTGACTTTACTCTAAATAATGAGTTCTCACCCCTTCCCTTGTTCAATGTGTAGTTCCAGGTTTATTTGTCATATACTGTATAGACTCTTCTATACAGTGTAATTACTCCACACTACTTCTTTCAGATAAACATTATATAGCTATATAGCTTTCATTACCTTTCTATTTTTGATGCATTAGATTGTATCTGTAGAATTTTACAAGTTTTTCTTAGTTTATTAAGTATAGGTTTTTTTATACTGTAATGTTTGCTAAGGTAACGACTACTTCTACGGAAGAAAGTTGACTTACCCCACCTCAGCAAAAATGGAATAGACAAAATGGACTATATTGGACAATTTATATACTAGATTAGCTCTGACCACAAAAAAGGTGGTTAGTCACTGGAACAGGCTCCCCAGGGCAATGGTCACAGCGCTAATCTGCTGGAGTTCAAGAAGCCTATGCACAGCATTCTCAGACAACAGTATTTGATTTTTGAAAAGTCCTGCTTGGAGGCAGGAGTTGCACTCAGTAAACCTTTTCAGTCCCTTTTCAGTCCCTTTCAAGTTGGGATGTTCTGAATTTCATGTTAATTTTTTAAAATTAACATCTTCCAAGACATGCAAATGCTCAATGCTTGTGTGGTCTCTTTTTTCCATTGGTTGGTCAAATATAGAGCTCTATTTTTTTCCTACTTAGTTTAAGATTCTCTATTCCACGAGACTGACAATTGAAAAACTGTCCCAACAGCAACTAAACAAAGCCCTTTATATCTCACACTAGTTTTTAGGCAATGCTAACAAGTGTTCTTTAGGATTTATTTACTCATCTTGCTTATTGATTTGTGTTTGTCTGTGATTTTTCTGCCTATTGTCTCAAAAAGGGGGAAACATAAAATTTTGTGTTTTCAGGTGTTACTCTGGAATCAGATTCCTGCCTTGACCCAGGAATTCCTGTGAATGGCCATCGCCATGGAAACAACTTTAATATCCGTTCTACAGTAACTTTCAGCTGTGATCCAGGATATACACTGAGTGATGAAGAACCACTCATATGTGAAAGAAACCATCAGTGGAATCATGCGTTACCCAGCTGTGATGGTAAGTGTCATGTTCATCAGATGGAAGAAGTCCAAGGAAGCTGATCTCTTATTTTCAAGATCTAATTAAACTTGTCATTGCTGCTTCTTACCTTCAAGATCCATACTTTTAAAAATTAATTTTACTGTTAATAAAGGTTTTACTTCATATCTCTGTATTAACTTTCAGTCAGTAATATCTCTGAGGAGTAGTGAAATTTACAGATATATATTCAGTACATTAGAAATCTGCAGTTCAGTAACTGTAGAAAAGGCAAGATATGGTGAAGCTGGGGAACAATAAAACTGTTTAGAGGTTATGTTCTTCTAAATGTCTAGTAGACTAGCCAAGATAGTACAGAAGTGGTAAAACTGAAAATACGTATGCATGTCTTTGTTCTTGTTATTGTATGAGGCATGTTTCTCTTTATAGAAATGGTAGATATGGGTTTAATTTAATTACCAGAAGAAATAAATTATGTGGGAAGTCATAGAGCTTGCTTTCATGGATATGCAGTATGAGACTGTGCATCTTTTTTCTTTTTTTTTTTTTTAAAAAGGCAAATGCTAAAATGTATTAGCAAATCTTTCTGTGCTCTTTCTATTGTTGAAAAGTTTTCTGTTTTTTTTTGTTTGTTTGTTTTTTTTTTTTAAATGAACTATGGAATTAACTAATTTTTAATGTAGTCACCATGATTAGCTATGTGCTTTCACCAGTAGTTAATAACAGCCTGCATGACATGCTCATTAAAATCTGCAACAGCTGAGGTAGCTGAAACATATCACCCACCACCTCACTGTGCTCACATCCACTGTTTAGTCTCCAGAAGCATTGAGCAAGCATCAACGAATAGGTGCATTTTTTTTCTTCCTGGAGGAACTTAATGAACAATCATGCATTTGACAGATTGTCCTTCTGCTGCTATCTGTCACATGGCAACAAAATGAAATAGAATGGGATAGATTAGGAAGGAAATCTTCTTGTATCCCTCAAGGGTTATCTGCACCCTCTGCTTCCCTAAAGCTTCTGTATACTAATTCATGCAGCATGGGTAATAAAGAGGAGGAACTAGAGATCTGTTTGTAGTCAAAAGGCAGCGATCTCACTGTGATCATGGAGACATGGTGGGTCAGCTCACATGATTGGAATGATGTCATGGATGGCTGTGTCCTTTTTGGGAAAGACAAGCCTATGAGGTAGAGTTTCTCTTTACGTGAGAGAGCAACAAGAATGTATCAAGCTCCACCTGGAGTTGAATGATGAATGATTGGAGAGCTTGTGGGTGAGAATTAAGAGGCAAGCTAATATGGGTGATACTGTTGTGGGAGAGTCCTTCAGGCCACCAGATGAGGAAGAGAAAGTTGATGAAGTCTTCTACAAACAGTTGGAAGTAGCCTTGTGACCCCAGGCACTGGTTCTTATGGAGGTCTTCAATCATAAACATATTTGTTGGATGAGCAACACAGCCAGGCACACACGATCCAGGACATTTCTGCAGTGCACTGAAGATAACTTTCTAACAGAGATGGTGGAGTAGCCAATGAGGAGAGATGTGCTGCTGGATCTTGTTCTTACTAACAAGAAAGGGCTGTTTGGGGTTGTAAAGGTTGGGGACAGCTTGGGATGCAGCAGTCATGAAATGGTGGAATTCAGGATCTTTTATGGAAGAAGTAAAGCAACAAGTAGGATTACAACCCTGGACTTCAGGAGAGCTAATTTTGACCTCTTCAAAGACCTACTTGGAGGTATTCCCTGGGCTAGCACCTTGGAAGGTAAGGGGACCCAGGAGAGCTGGTCAACACTTAAACATCACTTCTTTGAAGCTCAAGATCAGTGCATCCCTAAGAGTATAAAAATAGGGAAAGGTGGCAGGAGACCTGCATGGATGAGCAAGGAGCAAGGATAAATTCAAATGGAAGAAGGTCTATGAAATGTGAAAGTCTCTCTGCATGAGAGTATGGGAACATTATCAGAGTCTGCAGGGATGTAAGAAAAAATTAAATCTGACAAAGGAAGCCAAGAATAACAAGAAAGACTTCTGAAAATATGTCACTTGTAAATGGAGGACTAGGGACAGTGTGGGTCCGTTATTGAGTGAGGTTGGGTGTCCTGATAACAGTAGACACTGAGAAGGCAGAAATGCTGAATGCCTTTTTTTTTTTTTTTTTTTTTTTTTCCTACTTAGACTGCTGGTCGGGAATTGTAAACTCTGGAGGTAAGAGAAAATCTGGGGAATGGAAGTCTTTACTTGGTCAAAGTGAACCTGATCAAAGAGTGTTTAGCCAAAATCGACACACACAAAATCATGAACCCATGAGTGCTGATGCAGGTGAATCTCCAGGGGAGATTCAGGGTGGATTTTAGGAAATACTACTTATCTGAACGAGTGGTCAGGTGCTGGAACAAGCTGCTCAGGAGGCTGGTGGAGTCACTGACCCTGGAGGTGTTCAAGGAATATTTAGACATTGCATTGAGGGACATGATTTAGTAAGAACTGTTGGTGAGAGCTGGATGGTTGGACTGGATGATCTTGTAGGTCTTTTCCAACCTTGGTGATTCTGTGATTCTATGATTGCTGAACCACGCTCTATGATCATGAAGGATCATAGAGAACAGGAGGGGTGTTTGAGAACTGGAGGATAATCAACATCACACTAGGCTTCAAAAAGGACAAAAAAGGACGATTCAAGTACCTACAGGCCAGTCAGCCTTATTTCTGTCCCGGAAAAGTTGATAAAACAGCATGTTCTGGATGCCATCTCTAAGCATTTGGAAGAGAAGAAGGTTCTCGGGAGAAATCAACATGGATTCACCAAGGGGAAATCAAGTCCCACCAGCATCTTAGCCTTCTGTGATGTCATGACCAGCTGGGGAGAGCAGTGAATATTGTGTACTTTGACTTTAGCAAGGCATTTGACACTGTCTTCCACAACATCTATGTGAAGAAGTTAAGAAAGTATCAGATAGGTGGGTGGATGGTGAGGTGGATTGAGAACTAGCTGACTGACAGAGCTCAGTTTTGTGATCAGTGGTGTTGAGTCTAGCTGGAGGCCTTAAACTAGTTGTGTCTCCCAGGGATCATCTTCCTCAGTGACCTGGGTGAAGGGATAGAGTTCACCCTCTGGAAGTTAAGGATCATACAAAGCTGGGAGGAGTGGCTGACACACTGGAAGTCCGTGCTGCTATTCATCGATACCTGGACAGACTAGAGAGCTGGGCAGAGAGGAATCGGATGAGGTTTAACCAGATGAAGTGTAGAGTCTTGAATCTGGGGAGGAATAATTTTATGCATCAGTACCAGTTAGGGGCTGATCTGTTGGAGAGGAACTCTGAAGAGAAGGACCTAGATGTCCTGATGGACAGCAGGTTGGCCATGAGCGGGTAGTGTGCCCTTGTGGCCAAGAAGGTCAGTGTTATCCTGGGGTATATTAAAAAGAGTATGGTTGATGGAGATGATCCTCCTCCTCTTCCCTGCTCTGGTGAGGTCACATCCAGAATACTGTGTCCAGTTTTGGGCTCCGTGTTAAAAAAAGACATTATTTTCCTAGAAAGAGTCCAGCAGAGGGCAGTAAAAATGATTAAGGACCTGAAGTATCCCCGTTATGAGGAAAGACTGAGAGACCTGGGGCTCATCAGCCTGTAGAAGAAATGGCTGAGAAGGGATATTATGACTGTTTATAAACATCTAAAGTCGGGGAGTCAAGTCGATGTGGGCAGAGTCTTTTAGTGGGATGCAATAGTATAACAAGGAGCAGTGGGCAGATACTGGATCACATGAAGTTCCCTACTAAAACAGGGAAGAACTTCTTCACTGTCAGAGTGATGGAGCACTGGTACAGACTGCCCGGAGACGTTGTGGAGTGTCATTCTCTAGAGATATTTAAGAGCTACCTGGACACCTACATCTGTGATTTGCAGTAAGGAACCTGCTTTAGCAGGGAGTTGGACTTGATAATCTGTAGAGATCCCTTCCAAACCCTACAGTTCTGTGATTCTGTGAATACTGGTGGAAAGACTCAGCCATACCACCATCATCAGCCTCTGCTGTTGTGGATCAACATAATAAAATTGGAGACGTTACTTTTAGAGCAGCCCTAGTATATGTAAAAAATATGTAAATTCTAACAATTTAAAAAGCTTTAATAATTATCTTAATCTAGAAAGAAATGAAAGCAGAACTTTAGCTACAATGCCAGCTTTATACCTCTATGCGTAAATATGATTTGTTGCAATGTTTGTTATGTATATTTCCATCTAGTTCATGACAAAGGTTATTGCTCTGTCTGAGGAGGAAAACTAAAAGCAACCGAATGCTTTGTTGCTGTAATTTAAAATATTTATTATGTTAAAATTTGGAAGAAAAAAAAAAAAAAAAATGGACAGAAACAGATGAGGGAAAAGCATAGTCATGCTGTATTTATAAGATCAGTGAGCAATTCAGCAAAGCAAATCTTAAACTTTAATTAATTTCCCATGCAAATTTGACCAGCTTTGCTTAGCAAAATGCCAGGATGCATAAAATGTTTTCTAGTGTAGTTTTTGTGTCTTTAAAAATACCCAAGAAGGTACAATCAGAACTTTTGAAAGAGAGGAAAGTACTCTTTTTTTTTTTTTTTTTTTTTCTCTGAATTTCACAAGCAAAGCCAAATAGCAAAAAAGCTTTTCTGTTCTTTGGAATATATATATTTTGTTTCTTACTTTTTTTTTTTCTTTTCTTTTCTTTTATATATATATATGTACATATGCAAATAGCATGAAATAACTTTATGAGTCTGTAGCCCAATAAAGTTGGTTGTAGGATATTGATGTGTGACTTAGTTTAAATACAAACACAAGAAGATTAATCCTACTTCTTAAATGCTGTTATAATAGGAATTAATACTCAATATTTAGAAACACTGTTTTATTTATTTTGGTATCTTGCTAGTTAACAGAAGAGATTGTAGATGAAAAATACATTCCCTACAAAAGACTAGTTTAAGAATAAGTAAATAGTTGTCAAATTTAAATTTCTTTAAATCAGACAAATTAACTTCAGAGTTTCATACTTAACCCTATTTTTCAGTTTTTAGAGTTGTTAAAAAAAACTGAGCAGGATTTTTTTTCTTTTTTAAAATAAAGAACAGGACTGTGTGACTTTTTCTTTCCTTTTTTTTTCTTCTTTTAAGCATTATGTGGTGGATATATTCACGGAAGAAGTGGAACCATTCTTTCTCCAGGTTTTCCGGATTTTTATCCAAACTCTTTAAACTGCACTTGGACTATTGAAGTGTCACATGGCAAGGGTAAGAATCTAATACAAACTCCATATGTATATGTAATATCTGTGTTTAATAAACACAACATGTTGTTTATGAATCCATTTAAATCATATTATCAGCTATTCTTCTGAAGTTTAACTTCTCAAAATAAATGCTTCCAAATGTTGTAGTGTTTCTAGTTTGTCTTTATTTTGAAAAAGCAATACTCTTTTAACAGTGAACTGAGATAATGTGTCCCTATTAAAAAAAAAAAAAAAAAAAAAAAGGTAGAAGGCAGAAGAGCTAGAATATATTTATGTTGTTATTCATTAAATAGAACTAAAATACTTGGTGAAAACTGCCAGGGCCTTGTTGATAACTGTCCTCCATTATTAAGCACGAAACAGCAAATTTGATCTGTGTTTTAGTACATTAGATTTCAGGCTAGGATCACATGGTTAAGCTCAAAAACCTTATATCTTTATGTTGTATACACCATAGAATAATATTTGAATGCATAGTTAAGCTTAGCAGTTTATCCGTTATTGCAATGCATTTAAGAACCAACAAAAAATAAAAGCCTAGAAAGTACAAATGATAACACTGAATCAAAATATAATGAAATATTCTTTGATTATTTTCCTATGGCAAGGAAAGCCTTAGATTTTTTTTTTATATTACTCTGAGAAATATATTGGAAGTTTCTACTATTCAGAATCTTCTTACAGGTCGGACTTTTGTTTAAGACTAGTATGGCATTTTCAAATGTAAAATGTGTGAACATTTTTTTAAGACTTCCTCTGCCCTCAGGAAATAATTATATTTGAAAAGCTAACTTTAATGGAAAATTCAATTCGTTGTCAGACTGGAAGCTGACAACTCGAAAGGCAGTCGTTACTTGAGTGAAGGACAGACTGTCTAGCCTCTACAAACTCATATGTATATTGTACATAAAACTTACATTGCCTTAGTCATTGTGTATGGGCATTTTCTTGAGGTCTAGAATAAAAAAAAAAAACAGTGTTGTACCTGTTGAAATGTAAAAAAATATAACACAGTTAAACATAATATATAGTGAATTATTAAAATGTGAATGCTAGCTTAATAATGAGACAGTTATAAAGATTAGAAATAAGAGACCTACAGAATCTTGCATAAACTCTGGAAAATGCAAATTTAAATTTTCAGATTGTTGTTTACAAATCACACTAAATCCTGTGAATTCTCTTAAGGGAGTTAGTGATTTATGGTCAGCTTAAAAAACATCTTTGTTTGAGTCCTTGTGCTTTCTGCAAGTTCACTTTTCTGAATTTCAGATTTTGATTTCATTAATGACTTTTTCTAAAGATCTTCCCAAATCATTTACTTTTTACTTTCTGTGCTACCTATGATTAATGAAACAGAATAACTTTCTGTGAAATCGTTTTCTCTCTTTTTAATAATTTTATAGGTGTGCAGCTGTTATTTCATACTTTTCATCTTGAGAGCTCTCATGACTATTTGCTCATCACTGAAGATGGCAGCTTCACAGAACCAGTAGCCAGGTTAACTGGCTCAGTCTTACCCCCTACTATTAAAGCTGGCCTCTTTGGAAACTTTACTGCACAACTTCGATTTATATCTGATTTTTCAATTTCTTATGAAGGTTTCAACATAACATTTTCAGGTAAGATATTATATCATGCTAAATTTCCAGAAGTTGTTTCCAGATATTTGTACTTGTATATAGGAAAAATGTAATAAAACACCCATAAAAAAGAAATTTAAAATGTATAGTCTATATCTTAGAAGATCAGCTGACATTTAGAAGATGTTGGTGAATTCTTTTAAGGAATTTTCCCCATTTCCAGAGAATTATTAGCTATGAGAAAAAGTGGCTTGGAAGAAAATAGAGGGGAAAAAAAAAAAAGAGCAGTAAGTCTTCAGAAGAAGGAAACTAATTGGAACTGTTTCAGTAAAAGGGAAAAAACTGTAAATAAACAGTAGTGTGTTAACTCAAAATCACAGGTGAATTTTAATCAAAGGCTGATATTAGAAAAAAAAAAAAAAAAAAAAAGTATATATTTATACTAATAAGCTGACTTTATTGAACAAAATAGAGAATTTTCCATATAATTGCTCTCATTTGGGAAGATCCTGAGTAGTAGAAATAAACTATAAATCTCACCAGGTCCTGCAGGTAAAATTCTAAGTTCTGGAAACATATGATTTAACATATCTATACTGTACTGTTAGTCCAACAGTATCATTCCTTCTGAGAATAACAGGAATTCTAGGACATATTGTTGCGTATACATTTACTATGTACATTTAAGTAATGGTGAAGAAACAATTGCACAACTTAGGGGGCATTTGAGGGCTTCACTCTTACTGCTTCTAATGATTTTAAGCTTCTGTAGATTTGCAGATATTTCCGGTTCATATTTACAGAAGAGAGACAAATTCAAACACTTAAAGACTTATTTAGAAAAATGTATATATATATTTGTTTTCAGTTGGGTGATGCCTGTTTGATTTCAAAAAAGCACACAAACAGTTTGCTAGGTTAAGAAGACAGTTTTACTTAGGAAAATGAAGCATGGTTTTTTAAACTGTGGCCATAAGTCTTTCAATTCTCATGACCTTACATTTGATTTTTTTTTTTCCTTTTTTTTGTTAGATTCTCTTCATTACACAGTGAATTTTCAAACTGTCTCACTTCTAAAGCTGTTTGGAAGTTCAGACCAAATGAACCAAGAATAATATACTGAAGATGTAATTAAACAAAATTATAGTAAAACACTTATAGTACAAGCTGATTACAGCTCTTTGAAATTAGAAAAAATAAATCTAGTGTGGGTGGGATGCAGTAGAAACATAATTACTGTATATATTGCCATAACAGAAATATAGTGCTGGTTTTAGTAGAGAAAATGATTCTGAAATGCATGTTTTTGAAGCAGTGTGTAATGACATACTACAATTAATTTGGCAAGCTTCTCCACTCCAACCCATGCGGAAATCTTGTCGCATTTATTTATATAGTCTGTTTTATTGTCTACAGAATATGATCTGGAGCCATGTGATGATCCTGGTGTTCCTGCCTTCAGCAGGCGAATTGGCTTTCAGTTTGGTGTTGGAGACTCCTTGATCTTTTCTTGTTTCCCTGGATATCGCTTGGAAGGTGCTAATAAACTTACCTGCCTGGGTGGTGGTCGGCGTGTATGGAGTGCACCTCTGCCAAGGTGTGTGGGTAGGTGGTCACATGCTTTCATTTCATTCATCAAGTTGTTATTAGCACATGGCATGTTTCAGAATACTGGGAAGAGAAGAAAGCACTTGGGTTGAACGGATTCAATCCAAGTTGAAGATATAAGTAATGCACTTCTTTTTACTTAGAGAACTAAAATAAAAAAGAAGAGTAGTTAGAACTGTGGGAGAAAATAAGATCAGAATGTCTTGTGAGAAAAAAATGTAAATACAATTATTGAACTGTACACTTGCCCTTATTAAGATACAAATTTAATAGTCTGCCAGGGTAAAGAAACAAAATTTAGGGCTCTTGGTGGAAACAGCCTTTATAAGAGTACTCCAAACTGCTTTAAGGGCTTTTTTTCTTATTATTGTAACTTTAAGTTCTTTTTTATAATTTATAAGCTGTAAACTGTAATATAGTATTGTAAAATGTAATTTTTAAATGTGCTGTTTTTAAAAATCAGTAAATACATGCTCAGGTTGAGCAAAATGTGTTTTTTTTTTTTTTTGTGAGAAACTAAAGGATTGGATTTTTAAAATTTGTACAGTATCTGTATATGGTTTGATGAGATCATATTATCATCACTATTTGAAGTGGATATGATCAGGTACTATTGACAAAATGCTTCTGGAATGTCAAATAATTCCACACACCTGCCTCTATATGGATTGTCTTAAGACAGTTGTTTTAAATACAGTTTTATTTAATTAAGAAAGACACTCCCCTTTGTCTTGTTTCTTTTACTTATTATAAAAGTATGTTTCTATATCTGGAAAATGTTGTAAAAGTCATACGCTGTATGCAGTCATAAAATACATACATACATTTTTTTATGGCAAAAAAAGAGAAGTATTTGTAATTATGTTTTAATGACCTGGGCTTATATAATCAATGAAAGAGAAGCCAGTATTGTATGGAATTTGCCATTTTTTCTTAAATAGAAGTTTTACATCTTAGGGTATTTTCAGCTAGATTATTCTTAGAAAAAACACTGGCTTCTTAACACTGACCATGAATGTTGAATAATCAAGTGCACATTATCATAAATCAATTTAAAGTGTGCATATTTCACTACAAGAATACCCACATATTCAGTTTGAACCTAGAGTTCTATTGTTCCCAAGTTTTAAGACTGCTAAACATTTCCATAGCTTTCCATATATATGAATAGAAAACTAGCTACTTTTTTTTTTTTCTTTTCTTTAAGAAAATATTACTGCTAATTGTATAATAAAATGATTCTTAGTAAGTAAGCTTGATCAAGATAACATCAGGATATATACATGTGCATTTAAAACTAAAAATAAAACTCGCTACTGCATTTTTACTGTTATAATTACTTATTAAATTTCTTTGAAGCAGCTGATTCTGATGCAGTCAACATACTAAGAACATCAATACAAGTCATTTTTTCTAAGCAAATCACTGGTATATTTTGAGGGCTGACAGAAGAAAGCTGGATTTTAAGAAAGAAAAATGTTTCTATTTAATAATAATAGCTGCCATTCATTTCTAGAGAGTCATATAAAAGTACAGTGAGCTAGTAAAAAAGTATGATTCTTCATATAATAAACAAAAATATAGAGTGGCAAAAATATAGAGTAGTTTATGTAAATAATTATAATCTCTGTCTCAAAGTGTCTTAATTCAAACAAAGAAAAAATAAAAATACTTATTTTTTTAAAAAATAAGCACAATTCTGGAAGACTGTAAAATCACTGGATATTATGAGAAAATAATATGAGACATGAGGAGATCTGAAAACAAAATGATGCAAACTCCTCAAAGGACAACTGGTAGATGTTATGAAAGTACATCTGTCACCAGCTATCAAGTACCTAAAAGTTAATTTGTTCCAGTTCTATGAATTGAGTTGGCGTCTGCAGGCAATTTTTAGTGGATGGAATTCAGATTCTGAATTAGACTGTTTTCAGGTTTGTTGTGTACATGTGTGTGAGTTCCAATTACTGGTAACTGTCAGTAAAGTCAGTACAGACAGCCTAGATTTGAGTGTCTGCTTTACAGTGAGATGAGTCAGTCTCCAGGCATCCTTTAGATGCCTAAAAAAGGAATTACTTGTATGGGATTTTAAAATTTTACAAGTATGACAGAATGTTTTCATTTTATGTAAACTTTTTTTTTTTTTTTTTTTTTTCCTGATATATTTGCTACTAATTTTAAAGTAATAATATTATTTATTTGGAAAGCTATTTGTGTATTTCCAAATTTATTACTTATAATTAGAGATATTTGTTAGAATAAAAGAAAGTTTACTGAATACAATTCAATTATTATGGCTTAGTTTGGAAAAAAATTGCTAGCTATAATGACATTCCATATAGATTAGAATTTGAGCTAGAATCCCCACTTGCTGACAGGGCAGCTTGAGAAGCAGAGAAGGTCCCAATACTATCTATGTTAGCACTGTTCATCAATAGCTAAAACATCAGTGTGTTATCAATACTATTTTTCTTAGATCCAAACCAATAGCATGATATGAGTTCTTATGAATGAAATTAACTTTATCCTAGTCCCAAACAGTAGATTTGTATAACACTTTCTCCTATGGAAACAATTCTTCATATTTCAGCTATCTGTTGAATCCTTCGTGACATGGCTTTTCAGGAGGATCCCTTTCCTCCAATTATCTATAGAACTGGACCAACTGGTCTCCTGTCCGAAAAATTCCCATTCCGCATTCGTTTTTTGTTGTCGTTTGTTTGTTTTTTAAAGAAAGGTAATGGAGTCATCCATAAAGAAATCCTGTAAGAGCTTCAAGTAACAATGACAGCTTCTCCATCCAGTAGCTGATATCTGCCAGTAATACTCTTCAATCTCTTCACACAAGAATATTGTTTCCCATCTTTCTGCATACAGAAAATGCATTTAGAAGAGCTATCTTGTGGTCTTAACTAGTGATTCTGACAAAACTCCCACAAACATCCTACAGTGAGAACTTTCTGCACTACTGACAGTATAAAGGACATAGATGGTCTTTTGAAAGAAAAAATTTGGCTGCCTACCTTTATGCAACTGTTCTTCAATATACGTTTTTTAAACGTATATTCACAGTGTTGTCTTCCACTCCACTCCGCAAAATTTAGTGGAATTGACAGGATTGTGAGGTTGAGGGGAGCTGAGAGAGAGAAACACTGTTTCATTGTAATTTTGTTGTGATGCACAGATTAGAATAAGGACTGCATTTCTGTGCATACTGTCATGGTAAAGATATTCTCCTAGCAATCCTGGTACAGGACTATCAGGAAAACACATATGTTCAGTGGCTTGAAGAGGAAATGTCACCAAACTAATCCATAACCTTAGGTACTGACCAAAATCTGGTTTTGTACTGAAACAGCTTGTCACCTATATGTTTGTCAGTATTACCACCTGACACATAGCTGTAATAAGTGTGCTTGTCTGTGTGTTGTGTGATTCATTTTCCAAATTTACTTCTGAATAATTTAATTACCATATAAAATCACTTTTTGTCTTTTTAAGTAGGCTTTTTATGTTTTTTAGCTAAAAACAAGCTACTGGAGTACAGACAAGCTTCTTCTGATTATCTTTTGTCTAGCTGAGATTTAGAAAGAGAAAACAATAATCTTGTTTTCCTCCTTCACTGACATCTTATCCTGCATTATTATTAGCTGCTTTATTGTTATGATTGCTTCAATTAGTATTCCAGTGTTTTTAGAAATATATGTATATTTTTCAAAAGCATTCATCTGATTAGTAATTGTGGTTAAGAATTGTTGTTGATACTGCATCCACGTATATAATTTATTCCTATTTTATCACTTGCTTTGATGTAGTTGAAAATGTAAATATACATTTATACTAATTTTGTGTGAACAAAATTGCCTAAATTACTCTTCCAGTAATAGCTCAATTTTTCTCTACCTATAATTATGCAATTATATTACAGTTTCACTGTTATTTCACTGTTGACTACTTTTTCATGAGGACAAAACTCGCTTTTACTGAATTGGTTCCCCTAGATTACAGATCCAAGAGCAGTGCCTGTAGGCAGTTTTGTAGTTTTACATATCTCCAGAGCTGTGTCAGCCTTAAGAGCTTAATAAATATTGGGATAGAGAAAAGAGGTGGAACGGCTGTTGATTCTAAAGCTAAAGTCTACCTAAAGGAGACTGCTGAAATTGTATTTCTGGCTTCTCTTCCTGTCTTCATTAAATTTTTAAACAGTAACCGCACCATTTATCTGGAAAATAAAGGCAGATTCCCTTTATCCCATATTTTAAAATAAATAAATAAATAATCTATTCATTTAATTATATTTTTTTACATTTCTGTTTGCTTTAAGTCAAATTAGTCAGGAGCTTTCTACCACTCTTTATTGTAAAGTTGTGCTGTTGTTAAAAAAGGAAGTCCTAAATTAAAAGAAATATTTCTATAAATGATTTTTTTTTTTTTAATATTTGAAAACTTGAAAATAAACGTTCAGTGAACCAACAAGATTAGCAATAGATCTATAATGCAGAAAATACTCCCTATTCTATTCTGCAATCTCTCCCCTGACCTCCCTCTACAAAATACGTTTTTCCAGCTCAGTGCCATAGTTCACAGATTTCACTGTCATGCTACAGTGAAGAACTTTGTCCTTGGCCTTATGAATTTCCTATTTCCTTCTACACACTTAGAAAGCTTTATCAGAGTTGTGAGAAGTTAAATAATGTTATCTATATATATATATATTTTTGGATACTACTGGCAGTATCTTCTCTGTTTTGACAAAGAACGAGCAAAAGCAGAAATGTGACATAAAACAAGTAACCAGTGAATATATGCACATTTGAAGAGATAGGTGGTTGGGAAGTAGGTGCAGTTTTGAATGCATCTATCTGATCTACATATAGATTATCACTTAAATATGTTTTGACATGTGACATCATTTCATCATTTACAATGACCCACTGATGGGTAAGAGTGTGCCTTTTAGTTTTAGTATGGCTAAAATTCTGAAAGAGGTGAAACAT